TGTAACAGGCCCAATGAAGAAAACTCTGAAAGTGGGGAAAAAACAATTAAAATATACACAGGTGAGTATGAAGACTTAGATTGCAAATTAGGATATGTGCATAGAGGACCCGATAGTGGTTACTCAGGATCTCAAAGATGAACTAGTGGGCACAAAGTTCTAATAAGACACTGTAATTGGAGGAAAACTGGATAATGAAATTAAGCAATATAGGGAGATCATAAATTAGCAGATGAGGGAAGTTACAATGTAATTAGAAGAATGCAAGACAGTTGAAAGTGAGTTCTGAGCAGGTGACTGTATATGGATACTTTTCAATACTCATTACACCACCCCTATAACCATTACACCACCTTGTACCCATTACACCACCCTATAACCATTACACCACCTTGTACCCATTACACCACCTTGTACCCATTACACCACCACTGGAAAAGGTGCAAAATACATGCCATTAAATGGCTCCCAGAACTGAAGGCCAAGAGCTATGAGGAGAGGTTAGAGGCATTAAATATGACAAAACTAGAAGATAGAAGGAAAAATTGAGGTGATATAAATACGTACAAAATAGTAACAGGAATCGATAAAATTGATAGGGAAGAATTCCTGAGACCTGGAACTTCAAGAACAAGAGGTCATAGATTTAAACTAACGAAACACAGCTGCCGGAGAAATAAGAAAATTCACTTTTGCAAACAGAGTGGTAGACGGTTGGAACAAGTTAGGTGAGAAAGTGGTGGAGGCCAAAACCGTCAGTAATTTCAAAGCGTTATATGACAGAGTGCTGGGAAGACGGGACACCACGAGCCTTTACACTTGGGTAATTACACACCCTGTACCCATTACACCACTAGTACTCCTCAATATACCCTTTGTAGTCATTTATCTATCATGTGCATATCTTAAGATATGCCAGCTCTAGTATACCTTTATTGATTACTGTCATGCAAGTAAGCCATATCTAGTTAGCCAAAGTTCTAGTTGCCCACCTCACAACCCTGTTCGATAAGCCAGTGTAAGCAACTCCTCTCTTCAACGAGCCCAGCATTTGTTTTACCTTTCGATTGCTTATGTAAGCGATGCTTTGCTTTATTGCTTGCTTTACTAGCTAGTGTAGAATGCTTGCAAGTATCATTACAGCTCTCCCTCTCTCTCGTAATGTTTAGTGATGAAAACTTCATGTCTCTATGCCATAGTTCTTTGTTATTGTTTGTGGTAATAACATGAAAATAATTTGAAAATTATGAAAACTATTAAGGTTCAGCATTAAATTAGTTTACTAGATCACACAATTCTCAGTGTTCAGGGGGTACTACAATACTGTACTCTCCTCTTGAAATAGATTATATTGTGTAATAATTTCACAATAATAAATACAGATCATTTAGGAAATGAAATAATTTACAATTCCAGTAGCTGTGTTGCATGTTTCAACACGTAAGGCACTTGTAAGGCTATTATATATAAAGCATATATTTGATTTATATGATTTAATATGATTTGAAGCATTGTATGCCATTAAGATAGTCTTTATTATGGGGTGCTGTAGCCTAGTCAAGGCATGCAACGGCTATACTGTATTTTCATTATTGTGTAATTTTGGACAAATTTAATGCACTGCTTTGGTAATTACTTAGGTAATTACGAAAACAATGCATTCAATGTGTTTAAAATGACAATAATATGATGTGCATATACTTATGCCAAAAAGTGATTAGCATAATGAATAAAATATCTTTTAGAAGTGTAAATGAACACTAGTCATGAAGTTTGAAATAAAACATGAACTGCACATATAAATTAGTAAAATGATGATAAATTATTACTCTATTTGGCCTACACTTTATTTTAAAAACTTTTATGACATGAAACAAAAAAGCTAAGTATTATTGTAATGTACCATACTGTACTGTACAGCACAGTGCTGTACTGTACAGTACTGTATAGTCCCATACAGTAGTGCTGTATGTACTGTACTGTATTTCAGTGAATTAATTATCATAACTAAAGTTTTCTTGCTTAATGTGGCTATTTTCTGTGTGTTCAGGGGTACCACAATACTATACTCGCCTCTTGAAATATGGATCACTTGGTTTCACAGATGATTTACAGAAAAATGTTGATATATATACTTTTAGCTTGGGAAGTGGTGGTTATCTTCTTGAGGTTATCTTGAGATGATTTCGGGGCTTTAGTGTCGCCGCGGCCCGGTCCTCGACCAGGCCTCCACCCCCAGGAAGCAGCCCGTGACAGCTGACTAACACCCAGGTTCCTATTTACTGCTAGGTAACAGGGGCATAGGGTGAAAGAAAACTTGGCCCATTTGTTTCTGCCTCGTGCGGGAATCGAACCCGCACCGCAGAATTACGAGTCCTGCGCGCTATCCACCAGGCTACGAGGCCCGTCATCCACCAGGCTACGAGGCCCGTCATCCACCAGGCTACGAGGCCCGTCATCCACCAGGCTACGAGGCCCGTGGTGCTCGTAGTTATTTATCACTATGTTTAAATTGTACGTCATCACTTTAGTTAGCCGGGTTTAGTTGTGTAGCATTACACTTGGAGGTGGGGGGGGGGGATATTTTCAGTAGAGATTTAACAAATGTAACACAATCTTGTGTCATGGCATCGTATGTGTTGCTTCATGTAGAAGCAAGAGATACGAACTTGTAATTATATTAATATTTGTACTTTTGATAGTACATTATCTGAAGTGTTTGTTTATACACAAGGAGGCAACAAATCCACAAGGGCCGTGATGAGGGTTTGAACCTACGCATGGAATGTTCCCAGCTGAACCTCGGTCAACTGTGCCACAACATGGTTAAAAGAATTGCAACCTGGAGTGCTACTGCCCTCACTAGGATCCCAAAGCTTCTCCGAAGCCCAATCGGGGTTTCATACAATTCCCCCCATGCACCCGGGCTCTGTCAACCAAATGTTCTACTTCTATGCCCTTACTTCAACACATACAGAAATCACAATAGCGTGATATCAGATGAACAAATCCACGAGGCCCGTGATGAGGGTTCGAATCTACGCACGGAATATATCATTTGATATTTCACGTTATTGTAATTTCTGTGTGTATTGAAGTAAGGGCATAGAGGTAGAACATTTGGTTGACAGAACTTGGGTGCATGGGGGGAATTGTGTGAAAACTCCGATTGGGTTTTGAAGAAGCTTCGGGATCCTAATGAGGGCAGTATAGCACTCCAGGTTGCAATTCTTTTAACCATGTCGTGGCACAGTTTACTGAGGTTCAGCTGGGAACATCCCGTGCACAGGTTCAAACCCTCATCATGGCCCTTGTGGATTTGTTCATTTGATATATCACGCTATTGTGATTTGTGTGTGTAATAATAATAATAATTTTTTATTCAAAAGAAGGTGTGTACAAAGAACATAGAATAATGTACAAGTGCAGGGACAGGACTTACTAACAGGACTTCCTAGCTTTAGTTACACACATACTAATGTACCCATTATTAATAATGCAAAGCATTGCAGGCAAAGTTGTGTTAGTACCATTTACTACAGTTGAAAATTAAGTTTGATGTTTGATAAAGGCAGATGTACATAAAATTCACACAGACGTCACAATAGTGTGATATATCAAATGAACACATCCACAAGAACCTTGGTGAGGGTTCGAACCTACTCATGGTCTATTCCCAGACGCGCCTTAGTCAACTGTACCACCATGTGGTGGTACATATAGCTGACTACATTGTACTTTGAGCTAACTACAGAATATTCCACACTGAGTATTTTTTAGCTAATTCTATATAGTAAATTCACAAAATGACCAGTGAAAACTGTCATTAACTGCATTATATTCCTGTACAATACTTGTAATCTGTATCTCCTTTATCATAAGGATAAAATAATTGTTATGTGGTACCCACAGCTTTACGCCATTCATGCTTTGTACAGTGGGAAGATATTAGGAGAAGAACTTCGTCAGTAATTTATTTTATCTGTCTCTGTTTCTACCAACGTGGTTACCTTATCTTACCTTGCAATGATTTTGGGGCTCAACGTCCCCGTGGCCCGGTCCCCGACCAGGCCTCCTGGTAGATCCAAGATAAAATTATCCCAAATATTGTCATCTTGATCTTGTGTTCACGATGAGAAACATTTAATATATTATAAACATTTCACAAACAACCACAGACACTTAAGCTGCCATACGGGAGCCAGTCGGCCGAGCGGACAGCACGCTGGACTTGTGATCCTGTGGTCCTGGGTTCGATCCCAGGCGCCGGCGAGAAACAATGGGCAGAATTTCTTTCACCCTATGCCCCTGTTACCTAGCAGTAAAATGGGTACCTGGGTGTTAGTCAGCTGTCACAGGCTGCTTCCTGGGGGTGGAGGCCTGGTCGAGGACCGGGCCGCGGGGACACTAAAGCCCCAAAATCATCTCAAGATCTCAAGATCTCAAGATACGTGTCTCATATCAAACAAAGACACAATGTAGAATTATAATGAGGAAAAGATGATTTGAGAAAAATTATTATACTGCAAGATCCTAGATATGGCTTAGTGGTAGAAAGCTGAAGATAAATTTTTCCTTTTAGATAAAAGCTTCTTTTCCAGGATACAAATGTTTTGCTCACAGTACTGTACTGTACTTAGAATACAGATATGTAGTGGCTCTTCTGTAGAGAAAGTAACTATCATACCCAGTTGTGATGAAGTTTTAACACATTATGCTAAAATATTAAAAATGGGACCTCTACGCTTTTGTACTGTACTGCACTTTCTAACTAATTTTACACTTTTTAAAATTTGTAGGCGCTTTTGGGATTTTCTTTTAGTTTTCTTTTATGTTGATTTATTTCTTTTTTAACGTTATATTACTAATTGTGGCTTTTTAATTTTGTCTTATGCTTATTTTTTGTTTAGCTTATGTAATTTTGTTTTTTATGTTGTGTTACTGACTTTGGCTCTCCTGGGTGGCGGTTGTTGGTTGTGTTGGTGATGGGTCCTAACCAGCAGCTTGCCCTGACCCTCCCTGCGGCTGTGACTTCCCATCCCTCTCTCGGCCTCCAGCTCCACTGCACAACTCCCAGCAAGAATGGTCCACTCCCCACCGGCCGAGCATCTCCCAAAAATATTCCGCCACAAACTTTCCAAGTATCTTCTAACAGTGGTTCAACCTTTTCACCTAAAGTATCTCCCAGTAGCTCATTATCATCATCACGATCATCTCTCAGTATGGTTCCAAGTCCAGGGTCACTTCAAAGATGTCACAGTACTCTTCTTGGGAGAAAAGGAACAAGGGGGTCGCTACCGGGGATAGGCAGTGGGACAAGAGGGTTGGTAACGGGGCTTGGTATTGGCTCTCGGAGATCTCAGCCAGGAAGTGGGAGTGGAATGCGGGAACTTGGGGTTGAGAGTGGATCTTCACGGGGACAGCAGCGGTGGTCAGGTGGTGTGTCACACTCACGCTCCTCTGGCCTGGGATCATTGCAGAAGAAAGAAGGTGGGCCAGAGGGTCTCTCATTTCCGCACTCCTTATCAAAGAGGGTGATCAGCTCTACGACACAGACGTCCCCAGTGCCCTCTCCACGACCCTCTCGAAGATCCTCGGCCCACAGTGCCCCCACCTCCAGTGTGGCAGGTGGAGTAGGAAGTGGTAGTACTGGTGGTAGTGGGGGCAGTAGTAATCACCACCACCACCACCATCGACACACTGGTTCATGTTCACACCACCATCACCACCACAGTGATGCAAATGGAGAGACAGGTGGAGGCAGAAGGGTGCGGCGAAGCTCTCAGTCCTCACAGGGATCTTCATTCTCCTATTCTCGGCCTTACAAACAGGTTAGATTAACTTTACTGTTAACAGCTAACTTTACTGTGTACTGGTTCAGGTTGTTTATATTATACAATAACAAAAGAAATGTTCGTAAAACAGGTAAATATGCCAACTGGAAATGTTATCCATTATACATCACATGCTTATCTTTTTATTGCTAGGTTTATTATTAAGACTGTAACATAAGATATTTCCAGATCTTTGAATCAATGTATATTTTATACTTTATGGTTATAAAATGATACAATACTGTATAATTATGGATATATATAATTGTTAATGATCTTGAATGTACACATTTTTGAATGTAGATTTATTTGAACGTGAAACGTTTATTTCAGCAAAAAATAATGATTTCTTGTTGCAATGATTTTGATGAATTGAGCTGAATGCTTGATGCTGAATTGCACTTGATTGCAGTTGTTCATGACCCTGGCAAATGGTGTGCTCTGTTTTGCTCACTTTCATGTTTTCTCATACATAATCATCTGTAATCAGTGTTAAGCCACACTATGTACTCCAGCAAGTGTGTGTATTTATGGTATTACACATTACAATGTACACCATGATGTGTGTGAAAGTTTACAGTATTACACATTACAATGTAGATCACTGAGTACATGAGAAGCAGTCAGTCTCTTGGGCTTAAATTTTGGTCTTCCTAGGTTATAGTGATGGTCTTCCTAGGTTATAGTGATGGTCTTCCTAGGTTATAGTGATGGTCATCCTAGGTTATAGTGATGGTCATCCTAGGTTATAGTGATGGTCATCCTAGGTTATAGTGATGGTCATCCTAGGTTATAGTGATGGTCATCCTAGGTTATAGTGATGGTCATCCTAGGTTATAGTGATGGTCATCCTAGGTTATAGTGATGGTCATCCTAGGTTATAGTGATGGTCATCCTAGGTTATAGTGATGGTCATCCTAGGTTATAGTGATGGTCATCCTAGGTTATAGTGGTCAAAAGGCTATTGTGGTTGCCACCATATTGTGGCAAACAATTAGCAAAATGCTTCTATTTTTAGGTTGACAAATAGTAAAACTTGGGCAGTTTTTAAGCTAAATGATTTGTAAATAACGTCTAGCATCTTTGTTATGGCATCATTACTGTCATGGTCGCTTCGGTGTCTTACGGCACATTGACCGAGCTTTAGAATGGTGTGGTTAGAGTAAAGCTGCCTACATTTTGTTTTCATATATAGATGTTAATGCAGGATTGTGTTTTATGCCTCATTGCATTATGCAGATTCAGAGATAGAAGGTTAAGCACATTTGTATAAGGTTTTGAGACACAGTACTGTGTGATTATGAAATTCATTCAAGTCTGGCTTCCATACATGTTAAATTATTGTGAATTACAAGCCGTTTGGTTTTTATTTATTCATTGTTGCACATCTTCAAGCATTATGGACTTTATTATATACTAAATTATGTTTATCTGAATTTTCCCGAGGTCCACTGTTTCTAGTGGCCTTGACGGGAACAAGAAGCCGGCTGCTTGTTGAAGGCCCTTCCTTTATTCCTGAGGATTTTTTAGCTAAATTTTTACTTTAAATATTTGCTTGGCATTTACAGCTTCAGTGGGTAGGCAATTCCATGGGTTTATTACCCTATGGATGGAAAAATCTCCTATCTTCTGTCCTACATTGTGGCTTGATACCTGGTTGATGGGGTTCTGGGAGTTCTTCTACTCCCCAAGCCCGGCCTGAGGCCAGGCTCAACTTGAGAGAGTTTGGTCCAATAGGCTGTTACTTAGAGCACCCCGCAGGCCCACATACCCACCACAGCCCAGTTGGTCCGGCACTCCTTGGAGGAAACAATCTAGTTTCCTCTTGAAGATGTCCACGGTTGTTCCGGCAATATTTCTTATGCTCGCTGGGAGGGTGTTGAACAAACGCGAACCTCTGATGTTTATACAGTGCTCTCTGATTGTGCCTATGGCAACTCTGCTTTTCACTGGTTCAATCCTGCATTTTCTTCCATATCATTCACTCCACTACGTTGTTATTTTTCTGTGTAGATTTGGTACTTGGCCCTCCAGTATCTTCCATGTGTATATTATTTCTCTCTCTCGTCTCCTTTCTAGTGAGTACATTTGGAGGGCTTGTTGAGCTGTTGTATGCACTTTATACAACATTTTAAAGAAGTGATCTGGATTAATATCTTCTAATTTGTTTAGTATTTTAAAGATCTCTATGAGATCAGCCCTATAATGTCTGGTGTGCAGTCCTGAGGCCCACAACTGTTCCTGGTATGAGAGTTGTCTTCCTTCTTGGATACAGTACTCTAGATGAGGCACACTAGAGACTTGTACAGCTGAATAATCACTTTATTTTCATTTAAGTCAAAGGTTCTTTTCATTATTTTTATAGTTTAGTTTGCTTTTTCTGGGAGGGCTTCTCCTTTGGAAGCTTCCTATTGCCAACAAACCTGAATAGCTAATATAGATATATTAAATCACACCAGGCCCTTGCTACTGGGAACCAGAGGCCAAAACCTGGCCCCCATCTAAAGGGGACCTCCCTCATACAGTGAGTATGAGGAGGATACTTTCATATCAAGGCTATCAGGAGGATGAAACAAAACAGATTACAACAAGGTCAAAAATCACAGAAAATAAGACCCCCCAAAATGCTCTGGCCAATTGTGAGGCAGTTTACCCACTAGCAGCAGCTGCTCTCCAACAGGTTGCTAGGCACCCAGCTAATGGATCTGCCCACCTAACATTGGGGGGCAGAAGTGGGTGGGGGATAGATTCCTGGGGTGGTTGTGGGCCAGAAGGGGGTTGAGGATAGGTGCAGGGATTGGGGGGGGGGGTTCAGCAATGGGGTGGTATTGATGGTTGGGCTGGAGTAGGTGGATGGTGGTGGCGACAGATGGGCATGAGGTGGTTAGGGATTGGTGCAGGGGTGGGTGGGAGTGATGATGGGGAGGGGGGAAGAATTGGGTTGGTGCTTGTGTGTGGATGAAAAGTTGCAGAGACAGATGGCCACACTTATATGTCAGAGCTTGTGGTTAATACAATGTGTATTCTAATTAGTATATGAGAGTGTTAAGGTTGATAGTATCTTTGGGAGAATGTACCAAACATATTTATCCCTATTAACATATCTACTTCACTGTACTAATATGAATGTATTATATGTAACCATATAGGTGTAGTTACAAGATGAGAGCTATGCTCATGGCATCCCATCTTCCATACAGGGGCCTCGTAGTCTGGTGGATAGCGCGCAGGACTCGTTATTCTGTGGCGCGGGTTCGATTCCCGCACGAGGCAGAAACAAATGGGCAAAGTTTCTTTCACCCTGAATGCCCCTGTTACCTAGCAGTAAATAGGTACCTGGGTGTTAGTCAGCTGTCACGGGCTGCTTCCTGGGGGTGGAGGCCTGGTCGAGGACCGGGCCGCGGGGACACTAAAGCCCCGAAATCATCTCAAGATAACCTCAAGATATAACCTCCATATAATCTTTGTCATATGATGTTTTAACATTTTGACATCTACTACCACTCTTCAGTTATTCCAGTGGTCCACAACTATTTACAAAACGATAACTTTCACTTTTTTTCGGGCACATTTGTTTCCTTAACTTGAATCTATGGCCTCTTGTTCCTACAGTTGCAGGTTTCAAAATTTCCTCCTTGTCAACGTTGTTAGTTTCTGTCCCTATTTTGTATATGGTGATCATGTCATATCTAAAGTCAAAGTTACTTAACAAGCCAATTTTTTTTAAATATTAAAAACTTTTAAAACATTTTCTCCTATCGTATGGAATGATAAAGTTTATCATTGTCCTGTATTATATATGATTGACTAAAACAAAACAAAATCCCCAACTAATACTGTATTGAAATTTGACCAAACCTAGCCTAACTTCAGCATAAGAATATGAATTACAGAATGAGTTATTATAATAATAGTTAGGAATGAATCGGTTTTGAAAAAAAAAATTGAAAATAAACAAAAAGTTACTTGCTTGTTAAGCAAATTGGGCCTTATATATTAGGCCTAGTAGTGTGGTTCTGGCTATTAGGTATGCTAATCATATTGCTTCTTGCCTTTTATCTACCAGCTTTGGCATATTTAATGCCTCCAAGCATCTCTCCTTATATCTAGTTCCAGAACCCTAGTATGATCTGTGTTTGAGAGGAGAGCAGAGACTTCTATCTTGAGGTGATCATGTGGTGACAGTTTACTATTCAGAACTACCCCTAGATTTCTTTGTCAAAGTTCCTTATTGTCCTTTTCTTGTAATTTATACGTTGTATGTGGCCTGTTTTGTCCTATTCCACATTTCATTATGTGGCATGCATATGTAAGTGTAGCTACAAGATGAGAGAGATGCTCATGGTGTTCCATCTTCCCTATAATCTTTATCATATGACTCTTTGGTGGATGCCAAAACCATCATGTTGTTGTTGTGGTAGATTCGCTACCTGGAACAAAAAGTGTGAAGTAGCATGGGCTATGGTGAGCCCGTGCAAAACCATCAGTTGTTTCACTTTCCCACTTAAATTGTTCCAGTTGTCTCCAACCTTTTTTTTTTTTTTTTGTAAATAGAGAACTTTTGGATATCTTTTCTGTACTTTTTGAGCTTGAGTCTGTGGCTCCTTGTTCTAGAATCTAGATTTCCATGGTGACAGTTTATTATTCAGATTGACCGCCCTAGTTTGATCTCATTCTGTCCAAGTTCTTTATTGTCTCTACACATAACTTGTACATTTGATGTGGCCTGTTTTCCTCTATTCCACATTTCATTATGTGAAAGTTGTTTACATTAAATTCCATCTGCCATATATTGTTCCATTCACTTATTTTGTCTAGCTTATTTTGAGCGGGCATGACAGTCTTCCAAGTCTTTTACTCAGTAACTTAGTATCACCTATAAGCATATTCATCGGGGGTCGGGAGCCGGTCGGCCGAGGTCGGGAGCCGGTCGGCCGAGCGGACAGCACGCTGGACTTGTGATCCTGTGGTCTTGGGTTCGATCCCAGGCGCCGGCGAGAAACATTGGGCAGAGTTTCTTTCACCCTATGCCCCTGTTACCTAGCAGTAAAATAGGTACCTGGGTGTTAGTCAGCTGTCACGGGCTGCTTCCTGGGCGTGGAGGCCTGGTCGAGGACCGGGCCGCGGGGACACTAAAAAAAGCCCCGAAATCATCTCAAGATAAATCAAGATCTCAAGATAAATCATGTAATTCTGAATGCTCTCTCTATATAGACAAAGAACATTACTCGTGCATAAACTGAACCTTGGGGTACTCTCCACTAGTGACATTTCTGCTCTCTGATACCAACGAGGAGGCGACAAACCACACGGTACCTCGGATGCATTTCCGACGGTTCCTTTCATATAAAAGGGGTGACGCCGAGGAAAATAAGACTCGCGTCCCTACCTAAACAAACTCAGCCTCTGATCACTGCTTTTATTTTTCTGTCCGTTAGAAAATTGATCATCCAAGTTGGTAGTTTGCCTTCAACTTCCTCCAGTGTGTGTGTGTGAGACTGTTAAAAGCCACCTTTAGGTCCTGGTAGATGCAGTCAGGTTAACTACATTTTCATGCAAGATCTCTGTGGCTCTGTTGTAAAAGCTTAGATGATGATTTGTTTTTATGTAGGACCTTCCCATTCTAAAACCGTACTGTATGTTATGTTTTTGTTTCCAGGTACTGTACTTAACCCATTTTAATTATTTTTTTAGTGATTTTATTACCATGCTTATCAGTAACATAGGTCTAAGTTGGAGGGGTCTCTTCTGTTTCAATTTTTATAGACAAACTATGTCTTTTTCCACATGTCTATGAGGTTCTCTGTTTGTAAGAATGTAAAGTAATATATGGCGAGGCACTAATCTAGTTTGCACATTTTCTTAGCACCTAATGTGAGATTTCATCTAGCTTAAGTAGCTTTATTTGTGCTTAGTTCCCTAAACTATTTTGTTTGTCTTTAAATACTTCTAGGTTCTCTACATTGTGTTCAATTTTTTTTATTTTGTCTCATTCTCTGAAAATCTCACTTCACACAAACATACTTTGGAACTGCTCATTTAGTGTTTCACACATTTCTTTTTCAGTCTTTGTGAATCTATCTCCCATCTTTGAATTTTATCTTTTACTTGCAATGTGTGTGTATGTGTGATTACCCAAGTGTAATTACCTAAGTGTAATTACCTAAGTGTAGTTACAGGATGAGAGCTACGCTCGTGGTGTCCCGTCTTCCCAGCACTCTTTGTCATATAACGCTTTGAAACTACTGACGGTCTTGGCCTCCACCACCTTCTCACTTAACTTGTTCCAACCGTCTACCACTCTATTTGCGAAGGTGAATTTTCTTATATTTCTTCGGCATCTGTGTTTAGCTAGTTTAAATCTATGGCCTCTTGTTCTTGAAGTTCCAGGTCTCAGGAAGTCTTCCCTGTCGATTTTATCAATTCCTGTTACTATTTTGTACGTAGTGATCATATCACCTCTTTTTCTTCTGTCTTCTAGTTTTGGCATATTTAATGCTTCTAACCTCTCCTTGTAGCTCTTGCCCTTCAGTTCTGGGAGCCACTTAGTAGCATGTCTTTGCACCTTTTCCAGTTTGTTGATGTGCTTCTTAAGATATGGGCACCACACAACAGCTGCATATTCTAGCTTTGGCCTAACAAAAGTCATGAACAATTTCTTTAGTATATCGCCATCCATGTATTTAAATGCAATTCTGAAGTTAGAAAGCATTGCATAGGCTCCTTGCACAATATTCTTAATGTGGTCCTCAGGTGATAGTTTTCTATCTAGAACCACTCCTAGATCTCTTTCTTTATCAGAATTCTTTAAAGATTTCTCACATAATATATAGGTTGTGTGGGGTCTATGTTCTCCTATTCCACATTCCATAACATGACATTTATTAACATTAAATTCCATTTGCCAAGTGGTGCTCCATATACTTATTTTGTCCAGGTCTTCTTGAAGGGCATGACAATCATCTAAATTTCTTATCCTTCCTATTATCTTAGCATCATCAGCAAACATGTTCATATAATTCTGTATACCAACTGGTAGATCATTTATGTACACAATAAACATCACTGGTGCAAGAACTGAACCCTGTGGTACTCCACTTGTGACATTTCTCCATTCCGATACATTGCCTCTGATTACTGCCCTCATTTTTCTATCAGTCAGAAAATTTTTCATCCATGATAGAAGCTTACCTGTCACCCCTCCAATATTTTCCAGTTTCCAGAACAACCTCTTATGTGGAACTCTGTCGAAAGCCTTTTTTAGGTCCAGATAGATGCAGTCAACCCAGCCATCTCTTTCCTGTAAAATCTCTGTGGCCCGATCATAGAAACTGAGTAAATTCGATACACAGGATCTTCCTGATCGAAAACCATACTGTCTGTCTGATATTATATCATTTCTCTCCAGGTGTTCTACCCATTTAGTTTTGATTAGCTTTTCCAATACTTTCACTATTACACTTGTCAATGATACAGGTCTATAATTGAGGGGGTCTTCCCTGCTGCCACTTTTGTAGATTGGAACTATGTTAGCCTGTTTCCACACGTCTGCTACGATTCCTGTACACAGGGATGCCTGAAAAATCAGGTGAAGTGGAATGCTGAGCTCAGATGCACATTCTCTCAGAACCCATGGTGAAACGCCATCTGGGCCAGCTGCTTTGTTCCTCCCGAGCTCCTTTAGCATATTTTCCACTTCATCTCTAGACACCTCTATCCGCTCTATGTTGTTCTCTGGAATTCTTATTGTGTCTGGTTCTCTGAAGATTTCATTTTGTACAAACACACTTTGGAACTTTTCATTTAATGTTTCACACATTTCCTTTTCATTTTCCGTGAATCTGTTTCCCATTTCCAACCTCTGGATATTATCCTTTACCTGCAATTTGTTGTTTATGAATTTGTAGAATAGGCCCGGTTCTGTTTTACATTTATCTGCTATCCCTTTTTCAAAATTTCTTTCTGCCTCTCTCCTTACTGCTGTATAATTGTTTCTCGCATCTTTGTATCGCTGGTATGTTTGGGGGTTTGGCCTCTTCCTATACTGATTCCATTTTTGTGTCTTTTGGTCTCTTGCCCTCTCACAATTTCTGTCGAACCAATCCTGTTTTCTGGTCCTGCATCTCTGTTTTGGTATAAATTTTTTTGTGCCTTTATCATATATTTCACAAAACTTGCCATACATCTCATTCACTTCCTTGCCTAGCATCAAGTCTGTCCAATTATACTCACTAAAAAAATTTCTAAGGTCACCATAATGTCCTCTCCTGAAGTCTGGTTTTTCAACTGCTTCAACCTCCTTATTTTCTTCCAGCTTATAACGCATTGCATACTTTATTCCCAAAAAGACATGGTCACTTTTACCCAAGGGAGGAAGGTACTGAATGTCAAATATCTCTTCCTCCTTCCTGTTAAATATCAAATCTAGCATGGAGGGAACGTCCCCTTCCCTCATCCTCGTAGCTTGTTTAACATGTTGATACAAGAATGTTTCCAGGATGAGGTCTACAAATTTACAGGTCCAAAAATCTTCTGTTTTAGCTTCATATGCTTCCCAGTCTATGGATTTCAAGTTGAAGTCACCGACTATCAACAGTCGTGATCTATCGTTATCCGCTCTCGCTATAATCTCTCTCATTATTGTAAGTGTGTGTGTGTGTGTGTGTGTAGTATATAATAATGTTATTTGTGAGACATTTAAGAAATGTAATTATTACAAGCATTGTTTATAATGTTTGCAGGAATCTGGGAGATCGAGTGACAGTTCCATGTCTCAAAGCCGCACCTCTCTGGAAAATTCTGGGTATCGGCTATTGGAGTCACCTCGGGGTGGACCAGGCTCAAGGGATTCAAAACGTGGTGGATCAGCTAATAGTCGGGGTATTGGAGAGAGGCGAAGTAAAGATAAAGATCCAGTTTCTCCTCGTTCCCCAGATTCTGTGTCATCCCATTCATCCCCTACACACCCACAACAGGGTGCACCAACAACTCCATCTTCTCATCGTCGTGCTCATACCGATACACATGACCCATCTTCTACTAAATATAAGGTTATTCCTCAACATGACTTTTCACACTTACAAATAGCTAAACAGCGCAGCTTTGATGTTTCTAATTATCCAAAGCGCTCAGAGCTAAACCTAGACCGACCAAGAGAAATGGCTCTCTCTCGCAGTTACAGTTTTATGTCTAGGCCACGCTACCATGATGAAGATGGAATGCATGAGCGTTTTTTAATTGGTGCTATGAGATCAGTAGAGTCGACACCACAACCTCGGCGACGCCAAAAAGGTTTGGATGTAGTGGCTGGAAGTCCCGACTCTCTTGGTTCACATGGTTACCTTAATTATCGCCAAAGATCTGACAGCTCAGGCTTAGAAAGCCTTGCTACTCCAATGATGCACCGCAAGCAACGCTCTCTTGAATCTGGGAAGTCAAGGTTGAAAATGGATATACGATCCAGTAACAGTGCACACACCAGACTTGTTACATCAGATTCTAGTCCAAGTCCTCCTAGTCCCAAACATGAGTTTTTACCCTTCAACTTTGACTCTCCTCGAGGTCAAGACAGCGGAGCATCTACTTTAACTGACAAAGACACAAGGTCTAACTATGGTCGTGGCTCTGCAGACAGCTCCCCTCACTCTCAGGTTGACTCGGGGCTGGTCTCTGGAACAACAGGAAGTAGAGGATCTGTTGATAGTAATTCTCGACGAACTGACTCTCACCAGGCAACAGTTGACAAAGAATCTTCAAAGGATCCTGCAGTTGAAAATTCCAATAAAGCATCCTCAGTCAAGAGTGGTAGCGATCGCGATGGGCGCCGCTGCAATCATCGTCGTCACCACCACTGCAGTAAACATCGCGGAACTACAGCCACCAGTACCAACACAACAAATGCCACTGCTGCCACCACTGACAGTGATCGCAGTGACACTTTACAGAGCAGCAGCAGTTCTCAACATCTGGTCCACACAGGGAGCAATAACAGTCAGAATCACAATTCTAGCTCAGGCAGCAGCAGTACTGCAAAACAAACAAGCCCCAATAATAGCAAACAACTGAGTCCTAATAACGGAGGGAGTAGCAACACTAAGCAGCCAAGTCCCATCAGCGTGTGCAACACAGGGAAGCAAGACAGTAGCCCGCAACACCATGATTTGACTCATTTATATTCCAATCTGGACTATGTGTACGAGCAGCCAGTTTACCAGTACATTATGGAACAAGCAAAACTTACAGGTTAGAGCATGTTTGTTTAAATAGTTACATAGTATATGTTCTACTTCTTTTAGTCATTATAACGTTACTTAAAATCAAATTAGTTTACCTATAATCTATAATGGATTTTTCAAAATAATTATTTGAGCCTATTTGATATTATATTTAACACTAACACAGTGAATTTTGTTATGTATTATTAAGAGTTAATTTCCATGTACTGTGCTTAGACTCATTCACTTTTATGACAAATGCAAATTAGATACTTTCCTAATTCACATTATATGAATAAATACCCCAATCCACACACACACGAGATGAAAGTGGTGATGTTTTGGTCTGTTCTGAACCCTTGTCAAGTCCATACAGGACAGGCTGAAATTGTCACTTTTATTTATGTACATGTTGGGTTATTTGTTTCACTGTCACTTATGTGAAAAAATGTCCCAAAGTGACATTTATAATATTGTTTCAAAGAGCATCTATTTTGGCACCTACTCCTTGGATGTCACTATTGGACTCATTATCTAGTAATAGTGTTGCAAATTATACAAGATTCATTTGACAGAGGTGTATGCATGGACTAAACATAACACTTCTTCATACCTCTAACTCCTTTCTTTGTGATACACCTAACTCCTTCCTTCTTGACACCCAACCCTTTCCTTCTTGATATCTAACCGAGTCTCATTGTGTGACTTGCTATATTTTGTCAATCTGTGGGCAAACTTCCATTCAAAGTTTGTGCACTTTTTCCCGTTTATTTATCGGCTTCTTGAGATGTATACTGCAATTTGGGTCTCACAAAGGCCGTAAACAATTTCTTTAATATTTTCACTCTGGTGTCGGTGCTTCCAAGCTGGTGGTGGTGGTGGTTGAAGACAGTGACTTGGCAAGCCAACTAGTAGCCAATGAGAGGACTGTTTGGCAGTCCCCATGATGACAAATAGGACTTGTCAGAGCTTTGAATTGACATGAATATACTTTCAAAGAGTTCGTTCTGGACTGAATATTCTCTTGTGTGTCTAGCAAAAAATACAATCCAACAGGGACATTTGAAAATGTACCTAACTACTCTGGTCCAGAATGTCCACCGACCCCTGATTGGACACGCTTCTCTTCATTGGGCTGGTAGAATTGTGTTTTATAGAACAACTGAGTGGCTTACTCAAGAAAATTTTTCCATATACAGTACACTTGAAGCGCAACATTCCATAATATTTTTTGTATTTATTACAAAGTGGGGACTGATCCTCAGAACTACCCGAAGGTAACCTCATTAGGGTAACATGAGGGAATGTTGCCTCATTATTTGTTTCTGCATTCCCTTCCCTTCTGCAGTGGAAAAAATGGCTTTATTTTTGTACTTCTAGTTTGTTATAGTAATAACTTTTCCTCTTCTGTAATTTCTAAAACAACAACTCTTCACACATCATTCCATTACCACACTGCACATCCACTCTGGCATCAAAGCTATACCATATTTGTTGGATCATCTTAGTGAATGTACCAACACCAAACTGACTAGTGCCTGTTATTATAAATAAGTGTATGATAAATAATATCAATAGTACAGGTCCAGAAGGCCTTGGATCTGTTATCCTGGAACTCTCAGAATTTGTCACCACACCTGTGGCCCTCTGCCGCAAATCTGTCATAAGTGATAGAAAAAAATCTACACAGTACAGCTTAGTACTTGTCATTAAGATTTGAATGTTAATAAATAGATAATGTAACCCACATGTAAGAAGGAAGTTAGTGACATTGTTTAGGTATATCTTAGACCTTGATTAAGGTGTGACATGTCATGACTTTATCAAGTGTCCAGGATAGACACCCATTGTCATCACTTTCCTATAATTTCTAATGTGTGGGTTAGTTGTTACATTACTGTGCCTTATTCTCGGAGTAAACCGAGTTTATATTACAGAATATTTAATACATTTAAACTTAAAAGGATGATGTATGAGTTTCTAGAACTGGCAGTGTCATGCTCAACATCTCTCTCTCTCTCTTTCTCCATCAGGCTACAGACTTGGAGACCCACTTTATGAAGATGCAGATTCCTTGCACAGTGATGATTCTGGTGGCCAGCATGATGATAGTGATGAATTTGCAGATGATGAAGGAATGTCTAATGCCGATTCCTCTTCACAGGTAAAAATCACACTTAAAACATACTTAAAAAACATATTTAAGTATTTGTTTTAGCAAACAGTACTCTTAACATTGTGGTATGATTATGTACAATATTATGACAGTATTAACAAGATAGCGACTTATGAAGTGATGGAAAAACAATAGATGGTGGTGATGTGCAAAGGGAGTGTGTAACAGTAGATGGGAAACTGGTACAACCTTGCTTACATTTCAGCCAAACAACTCTAAAAATAAATAACTAAGCAAAGTTTTATTGTAAATTTGACTTGTTTTTGTTCCTTAACACTATCGCGCACAGTTCGTGCGCATCACAGAAATGACGTCATGCACTGTTCGGTGCAGGCAAGCGTGCGGCGACACAGAAAAGTGTATACTTGTTTCAGTTTTCTCACCTTAATTCTCGTGCTACATCGTTTGTTTTGGTATCATTGTGTTTACAATAGAATTCTCTACAGGGGTATATGCATATAAGGTCTAAAAGCCCGGTGTGACTCCCCACAGCAAAGCCCGAAGTCGGCCAAGTTACCCGGTGCCCAAGTTACCCGGTGGGGGAGCCGGTCGGCCGAGCGGACAGCACGCTGGACTTGTGATCCTGTGGTCCTGGGTTCGATCCCAGGCGCCGGCGAGAAACAATGGGCAGAGTTTCTTTCACCCTATGCCCCTGTTACCTAGCAGTAAAATAGGTACCTGGGTGTTAGTCAGCTGTCACGGGCTGCTTCCTGGGGGTGGAGGCCTGGTCGAGGACCGGGCCGCGGGGACACTAAAAGCCCCGAAATCATCTCAAGATAACCCCAAGATAACCCGTGAACGAGCACCAATTGGCACACCTGCAGACTAATTTATATACTCGTTCAGTTTGATAACAAATTTTCATGTTACGTGTTTCATTTTGGTATCAAATTGTTCACAAAATAAAGGTGCGTATTTTAAAACTAGTCCCATAATAATAGAACAATAAATGGAATTTTAAAAAATATTTTAACTTTTGGATGCTCATCACCACAAAATTATTTATATATTACCAGTGTTCTGAAACCAATTTTCGTGTTATGTCTTTTATTTTGATATCCAATTGTTCGCAATATAAAGGCACATATTTTAAAACTAGTCCCATAGTAATAGAACAATAAATGAAATTTTAGAAAATATTTTAAAATTTGGACTACAAAAGTATTTATCTTCTTTCTGACATCAATTTTTGTGTCACATCCTTCATTTTGCTATCAAATTGTTCACAATATAAAGATGCGTATTTTAAAACTAGTCCCATAATAATAGAACAATAAATGAAATTTTAACAAATATTTTAACTTTTGGACACTTTTTGGACACTAATGCATACATTGCTTCTTACCAAACTTCTAAAACACGGGTATTGTTTGGGTGAATCACTATTCTCTTATCCATATCTCCTCTATATTACATGCAAATCCATGCCATTTTTGGATAGACTTCACACAAATATAAGTATCTTAAAAACACTTATCTGATTGGAAATACCTCAATCAGCTTCTTTTGTGATATTTCCAACTCTTTAATACCCATATCTTTGCTGTCTAGTAATTAGTATGGTTCATGAGTCTATCAAGAGCCCTAAATTTTACTGACAATGAATTTATTTTATTTGGGTTTGCAGGAGTACCTTGAGGATGTTAATTACCTGGCGGACGATGAGATGTATGCTCAGTTTTTCACACCATATACTTGGAAAAATAAGAGCAAACCAGGTAAGAAAACCTGTACTCTGTGTAATACAAAACTTCCATTGCCTGATTAGCTTTTATCAGAGGGTAGAAGGTAAATTTTTTACCTGAAAACTTAAGTAATTTAAAAATAAAAATTCCATATTACTTTCAATTTAAACCCTTTGACTGCTGAATCTGCATTCTTCTGTAACTAGCTACTTCAGGCTATAGTTTACAGTTCTTCTATAACTATAAATTACAGCCTGAAGTGAAGTAATCAGTTACAGAATAACACAATTCAGTGGTCTGGTTTATCTGCTGGTTAGGGGGTTTGGTTCTTTTCCAGTTTGTTAGATTTGCCCTTTTGGTCAACTGAAGAATGTCCCAGTTGGCACCTTCTCAGTGTCTGTCTGACCTGGCTCCAGTCTGAAATGTCTTGCTAGCCTCTTCCTTGGTCAGCCTTCTTGCAGTTATGCCTTCATGCTCCAATTTGTGCTAGGGTGGTCTCTGCTTTTCAAGTGAGACCTTGTGCATTGTTTGGATTGTGTGATTTTTGCAACATGTAGTGTTTCTGCTGGGCCACAGCTGCCTGAGGGAGTTTGAACTCTGCTTCCTGTGGTAGTGGGACTATACATAAAGCATAGTTTTGCTCTGTCTCCTTCAGACCTTAAATACACTCTTTTCTTAGATGTCAGTATAAGAATTGTAAGGCAGTTTGATTAAGACCCAATGAGTGCTCTTGAAAGATTGTAATGGTTAATTTGATGTCTTACACTTGCTATACTGTACATATACTGTTACTGTACTGTATAACCGTATACTATGCTGTTAACTTTGTATAAGTCTCCTCTATTTTACACAGTCTCCGTGGTGTAGTGGTAAGACACTCGCCTGGCGTTCCGTGAGCGCTATGTCATGGGTTCGTATCCTGGCCGGGGAGGATTTACTGGGCGCAATTCCTTAACTGTAGCCTCTGTTTAACGCAACAGTAAAATGTGTACTTGGATGAAAAAACGATTCTTCGCGGCAGGGGATCGCATTCCAGGGACCTGCCCGAAACGCTACGCGTACTAGTGGCTGTACAAGAATGTAACAACTCTTGTATATATCTCAAAAAAATAAAAATAGAAAAGTGAGAGCACACTTGCCTTGCTGTATGCCATGTGAGATAATACCAACTCATCCCTATTTCAGTCATAAACCACCTAACGTGTAAAGTGCCTTTCAGTTTTCTGACACAAAAACCCTTCACCAGTCATAGTATACCCCCCAGCACAGTTACAATTGGTTGGTTGAGCCCCAGTGTAGGCCTATGGAAGTTTGGCATCAGTTCATGGAGGTTTAGCACTGATGTGCAGTTTCTAGGGAGTGACCACAGGCTATGGGTGCTTGAGCCCAGTGCCCACCTACACCAAAAGCTCTTGACATCAGTGCCAGCTAGGATCTCATCATTAAACATGAACAATTACTAACTAGCGGCCCACCAGCCTTCACGGGTTTTAATAATGGCCTTCACGGGTTTTAATAATGGCCTTCACGGGTTTTAATAATGGCCTTCACGGGTTTTAATAATGGCCTTCACGGGTTTTAATAATGGCCTTCACGGGGTTTAATAATGGCCTTCATGGGTTTTAATAATGGCCTTCATGGGTTTTAATAATGGCCTTCACGGGTTTTAATAATGGCCTTCACGGGTTTTAATAATGGCCTTCACGGGTTTCAATAATGATTTTCGAAGAGGAATGCTTCTTATTGACATTAAGCATATTGGCTTAAGAAGTCTGTCCTCAGTCGAGGCATTGATTATGCAGTTCCTCGTCATTTCCTATTCATTGAAATCTTTTCATTGTGATAAGTTATAGCAAAAATCACCATCTATCACACAAATACTAGTCTTATCTTCAAAATTGTTAGTCTTGTTTTGTGCTTCTATTGCAAATTTTGTGGTGCAATGTGTAATAATTTACAAATATAACAGTAACATTTAAAAATTTCTGTGTAGATACATATTCATTGTATGTTTTTAAGAAGTGATGATTTTGTGTCATTCATTTGATTATACAGTATTGCAAGTTGGACTTGGTGGTCAGATTCGGTGAGGTGGTAACTTCATACATATTATAATTTAATTACTGTTCTCAGACTTTATCATTTAATTACTTTGATATGGCAATTTTGCTCAAAAACAATCTTATATCCAGTGGGCATAATATCCAAGAATGACATTGGTTTAATGTTGAATCAGCATTAATTCAATATTTATTAATGATGTTGATTAACCATTGAATTGGCATTACTCTTGGGTATTGTGCCAACTGGGTAAGATAAGATATGGATGAGTATATCAATAAAGTATTTGGAAGAGTATAATATTTGTTCAATTCACTGGTATTATTGTGTCTTTTATATTACACAGAAGGAGAAGAAGACATTCCAGAGAGTAACAAGGTCTCAAGAATTTCGCCAGCTTCCTCGACTGCTCCCATAAGCAGTGGAGCGCCGGGAAGCTTGGTACAGATTTCAACTCCATCGGCACCGCGGCCAATCATCACCAACATCACTGCAACTCCAATGCCGCCAAATAGCCTACCACTGGATACGCAGCACGCATCACTGAGAAGAAAGAAGGATGCTCCGAATCATCAACCATTGTATTCTCCCATACTGGAGAAGGGCGAGGTTGGTCCATGACTCTCATTAACGTGATAATTGTTCTCCCATACTGGAGAAGGGCGAGGTTGTTCCATGACTCTCATTAACGTGATAATTGTTCTCCCATACTGGAGAAGGGCGAGGTTGGTCCATGACTCTCATTAACGTGATAAGTGTTCTCCCATACTGGAGAAGGGCGAGGTTGGTCCATGACTCATTAACGTGATAAGTGTTCTCCCATACTGGAGAAGGGCGAGGTTGGTCCATGACTCTCATTAACGTGATAAGTGTTAGGCTTGGGAAAGTGTGCATTTGTAAACTATGCAATTTACCGAGATGCTTAACAAGTTTGCTACTACATTAGTGATTAAATATTATATGTTTTTCATTATTGTATAGAGGAAACGAAGAATGGTAAGTACAGTAGCAATTTTATTATTGTTTAATATAATCTCACTATTTTCAGTATTGTGATAAGACAACTTGTAAATAACATTAGAGGATATGCTTGTCTATAATTTACTTAAGTATTAAGTACATTGCCATAATATTGTTCTGTATATATACATATATATATAAAAGCAAAGAAACTCTAGAACACAAGAAGCACTTAGGAAATTGAGACTAAACTATTCTTACAATTATGAATTCAGTAATAAATATATGCACAGAGTGTATGATAAAGATGTGTAGGATATGGCATATGTATACGGTTTAGCATATGTGCAGGATAACAGTGAACTAAAAAAGATGTTATACAAAGAACAAAATTAATGCATAATTTAACTCAGGATTTGGAAGGAAGGAAATAAATGAGAGTACAAGGTGTAGAGGAGAGAGTATACACAAACGTATAGATGATAGAGAGTGTGTACAAGGTATAAAGGATAGAGTGTACAAGGTATAGAGGATAGTGTGTGATTACAAGGTATAATATATATATATATATATATATATATATATATATATATATATATATATATATATATATATGAGGGAGAGAGTGAGCGAGTGAGTGAGTGATTGATTACAGGGTATAGAAGGGAGAGAAAATAGTTGAACACAGTATTTTGATATAACAGAAGATCTTTCCGACTGTATTGACGTTACCTGATTGTAATATTAAACAACTATCCCTGGCAATGCTACAGGCCCCTATCTGGACAGTTGAGGAGCATAGGTGCTTAAATCTGGTGCTGGTCTGGGGCAGCTTCCAGGTGGCCAGCTTGCAAAGATTTACTTTGTAGTGCACAATGAAATAAGAATGTGATGTATCCATTGGAAAATATTGAGGCCTTGTTGATTCGTTCTGGTTGGAGAGTCCAGGAATGGGAGTTTGATTCCATTACACAGATTCAATAGTTTTCCCCTCTACTTTGCAGTATTTCTGAGGCTAAGTGTCACTTAAAGGAGGTCATTCAGGGTTGGACTAAGAAATATACAATGTTTCACTCCCCTCCCCCCCCAACTTAAGGCTTCACGAGTGCCTTTGCAAATATTCATGCAGCATTGGGGAGTGATCATCCTTGCTGGGCTATTGTTTAGTCATGCCCTAGTTAGAGTGGGATAATTACCTTAGGAAAAACCTTAGGAAACCTTAGGAAAAATGGTTGGTGGGGGCCCAACAACGTTTCTAACCTTAGGAAAAATTGAGGGATATGCTCAGGATCAAAATTTTCACATGCACTGAAAGTTCTACATCGTCTCCAGGAATGAATTTTTGGGTAAAACTGGGATCCTACTGCACATATTTGTGAAATAAGCCTTTTGAGGTATTTAAAATTAAATAAACCATACTATGAAATGGGTGTAAAGAATAGGATACTTTTAACTATGTAAGCTTGCTTTACTTGTATATATATATTTTTGTATGTAATGTACTGTACTGTATGTTATCAGCTAAGTAACCGTGATGGCAGCAGCAGCAGTGGCCAGTTGGGCAACCGTCCATTGTCTATATCCATCCCCAATATGATGGACTCTGCCTTGACCACTAACCCCATCACTGGCTCCCTCCATCGCCCACCTCAGGCTAGTCACTATTATGTTACTATTATAAACTACATGCGAGACTGCATGTAGTTTCATGCAGTCTCGCTACGTTCTTGAGCAAATGGACTTTATAAAAGCAGTTTATCAATTTCTTTCCCCCATTCCCCAGGCCTGAATTCTTCAGATGTATTAAACGATACATCTGATAAGATAGCAGTAGATTACATACAATATTCTAAATTAAAACCATCTTGTAACTCAAATATTGTATATACATAATTACACAATAATGCTTTGACAGTGATCAGCTTCTATCTTGCACTTGCTTGCTAATTACCAGAGTGTGTGTGTGTGTGTGTGAACAAAGTTCAAAATAACAAATGGTTTCATTCTTAGACACACTGGAGGAGCCCCCGGTGGCTTCCCCCCTTCCCCACCACTGAGTCACATCAGACATAAGTCTTGTACAGTCTACTGGGGACCAGAGCCAGAACCTGGCCTTCCGTCTCACAGAGATGCATGGGAGTAGGGGGGAGGGGTTGTTATTGTTGTGATTACACTCAATTAACATCCAGAAAGTCAGTGAAGCAGTACTGGCAACTTTATAGTTCATAGAAAATGAAACGCTGAAACAGCCACATGACTGAAAATAATTCACTTGTAGCAGTCGGAAGTTTCCTTCAAGCTTGCTACTGGTGCTCGCTAGGCCTCCTAGCAAGGAGGCCTCGCTAGGAGGCCTTTCCTCTTCAATGCCATAAGTACTCAACATGGGCTTGATTCATCCATAGTTATTTTCACAATAGACACTCTTTCCTATTCCTAGGAGTTCTGTTTATTTGTAGATTAATGGTAATCGCTGTCATAATAGTCACCACTATGCACCATTATTCACTACCTTAACATAGTTCCACAGTCACTCGAATACTTATTCACGACCGTTACACCACCATTTGTTACTACAGTACTCACCCGTGCTCTACCGCTTGTTTCCACCACTGGTTACATGGTGACCCCTCTTGGTGTTTAATGAAAAATAACTTCACTGATATATAGTTCCCTCCCCTGGTACCTCAACACTGGTACATGGTATCCTTCATTGGTACCCACCCAAAGTTAACACTGTAATCCCTTGGAATTTCACTGGTAACACTATACTCTCTTGGTACTTGACTAGTAAGACTGTACTCCCTTAGTATTAACACTGTGGTCCCTTGGTACTCCACTGGCAACACTGTACACCTGTGATATTTCATTACACCACCTTGTTTATATCCTGAGATGTACAAAATAATAAGTAATCCTATAAAATGTTACATTTTACATCCAGTATGATTGTAGGGGGTGTTGGAATGTAAATATGCATGGGCAAAAATTAGAGTGCATGTCTAAGTATTCATTTTACATGAAAAGTACTGTAAATACACTCGTGATTAAAATATATTCTTAACCCTATGATATTTATTACAGGGTTTGACTGCACTTTCTCTTATGAAAAAGCCTCCTTCCGAGTCTGACTTTGAGCGATACAGCAGTACTGGTGGTGGTGGTGGTGGTGGTGGCAGCGATGGTCATAATCTTATGGAGAAGTATGCTCAGGAAAATCTCAACATTCACACTCGTGGTCTTTTACGAAAAAAAGTTCCGGTTATAGATATGATTTCTTGGACAAAGGTACAGTATGTTTAAATGTTAGATTTTAGTGTGAATTTTGACATGTTGCTGTCCTTGTATAGGTGTATAATTTTATGTAGATCTAATGCATTTAAGAAGAAAATATTATAAATTTAAGATCCATTGTCAGGACAAACTGAATGAGTATACCTGGAGAGAGTTTTGGGAGTTCTTCAACTCCTCGACTTGTGATATCTTGGTCCAACAGATTGTTTCTCGGAGAGGCCCGCAGGCTGCTCCAAGTACAGTAGTATGTAGTATGCAGTTAAGTATGTATGTGTAAGTGTGTATGTAGTGGGAAGCAGGGGAACTGAATTTGACAGGGAAATTTGTTTGAAGAAAAGTTGCATCTTTTGAGCAAGTTAGGTTTCTTTTACTTGAATAATATTCTCTAAGGTGACATGGGAGGTCCAGAGCTGGCGTTGAAGGAATCATGATCATGATCTAAGGGTGACATATTGGACACTATCATAACAAGAGGGGGGACCTTCTCCATTTAGGGATTGGACACATGTAACGTTTTTATTAGACATCTCACAAGTTCTCAATATGTATTAGAAAATCCTGAAGGAGCAACGTTTAACAAAGAAATAGAGTAATTGGAGATAGTGTTTCATCTGCAAGGGTTTTATTAAGTCTTTTTGTGGTACACAAGGCTAGTGCTTATGAACTTCTTTGAAGACCAGTGTCTTATTCCCAGTCACAATACTGGAACACCAGTGTCTTATTCCCAGTCAATACTGGAACACCAGTGTCTTATTACCAGTCAATACTGGAACACCAGTGTCTTATTCCCAGTCACAATACTGGAACACCAGTGTCTTATTCCCAGTCACAATACTGGAACACCAGTGTCTTATTCCCAGTCACAATACTGGAACACCAGTGTCTTATTCCCAGTCACAATACTGGAACACCAGTGTCTTATTCCTAGTCACAATACTGGAACACCAGTGTCTTATTACCAGTTACAATACTGGAACACCAGTGTCCGATTCCTAGTCAAAATCCGAGACAAGAAATTCTTCCTATCCTTATGGAATGCTGGAGTAGGGTTGCTTGTGTTTCAAAATACTTGGCATTATTGACATTATGGACCTTATAGGCATTATAAACATTAGCATTATGGGCCTTTGAGAAGACATTATTTCCCATCTGTATGGCAGTTTTCAAAATTTGATGCATGATGGGAGCCGGTCGGCCGAGCGGACAGCACGCTGGACTTGTGATCCTGTGATCCTGGATTCAATCCCAGGCGCTGGCGAGAAACAATGGGCAGAGTTTCTTTCACCCTATGCCCCTGTTACCTAGCAGTAAAATAGGTACCTGGGTGTTAGTCAGCTGTCACGGGCTGCTTCCTGGGGGTGGAGGCCTGGTCGAGGACCGGGCCGCGGGGACACTAAAAAGCCTCGAAATCATCTCAAGATAACCTCAAGAAGATATGATACAGGGTACAGTGGCCAATGTGTTTTATTGATAGTCACCTGGTGTGATGCATTAGTTACTCCTGAGAAGTTCCTTCAGTTGGATCACAATGCTGACTTAGTGTCCTACTTCACTGTTCATCAGAATATCTGGATTTTTTCAAACTTATCTACAGTATTTACTTTAACACGTTTCCTCAATTTAAACATTACAATTCATGCTGTCACCCTGTAGCTACCATTCATCATGTAATAAACACCTAATTCTTTGGATACAGAATTACAGTACAGTCTTTAATGGAGGCAGGTACGCATGTAAACCTATGACTTTATTTATTGACTCTTTCTCAAATCACAATCTTCTAATCACATTAAAATTTAAATTGACTCGGTTTTAATGTGAATTTTTCATTCACCTTATAATTATCATTTCAGGACCCAATTCGGAAACCAATGTTGGCAACTTTGGACAAATCTGTAAAAAATCAAGCCTGTGAGCTTTTCAGACTGGTTCAAATCTACATGAGTGATCGGAAACCTAAACCTGGAATGACACTTAATTCAGTGGGCCTAGATATTGTCAGTATGTGTTATAATTCCCTTGGACTTAGGGATGAGCTCTTTGTTCAGATCTGCAGACAAACTACAGAAAATCATAAAAGGTTAGTACTGTACATTTTTAACACAGAAGCCACTCTGCTCTCTGAAATTATTGGAAAAGTCAATCTGTAAATTTTCAGTTTGGACTTGTCTGTCCTCCTCACATGTTCAGTTTTCAGAAACTAGATTTAGTTTTTCAGGTGGCTGAGCACATGGCCATTGCACCAAGAGTGTTTCACTGAGACTAGACTGTTGTTTTTGTGGTGCGCCAGTGGCCACTGAAGCTCGCTCGCTCGCTCTCAATTTTATTCTGCAAGAATTACTGACCATTTACCACCTAAGAGGAAATGTGTGTTGAGCTTTTAGTACAAAGTAAAGCTTACAGGAAAAGTGGAATCTAGCATCCTTAGTTTGTGTATAACAAATGAAAAGTCAACAAAGCCATTCATTTTTCATACTTTGTAGGCTAAAGATAAGGTGTTTGGTTGTTATTCTCAGAGTAAGAGTGATACATTAGTGTGGAAGAGGTATGCCATCATCAGACTAATGTTAAAAGTGTTGATGGTGCTGTTTGGAAGTGGTACAAGCAAACACAAGGGGAAACAGACACCAGTGGTAGGGCAATTGGTTCATATGACCAAGTGTCATATGAATCTTCATAAAAAAGTGAACATTATCGAGTCATATAAATTGTCATCCACACATCCGTGGAAATAAGCATTCCATTCACCCGGGCTCTAGGTTACTAGCTCGGTCGATAGAGCTTTGGCCTCACACATGTGGGGTCCACAGTTACAGTCTCCTAGAGCCCAGGGCAATGGAAGGCTTATCAAGCCGTATGCAGGCGATGAGTCACAATAACGTGGCTAAAGTATGTTGACCAGACCACACACTAGAAGGTGAAGGGACGACGACGTTTCGGTCCGTCCTGGACTGAAATGTCATCGTCCCTTCACCTAGTGTGTGGTCTGGTCAACATTATCAAGCCGTGTGTACATAGTGATGGATGGCTAAGGAACTTTAAAAGTTGCTATGGTATTGTGTGAAGATACACAGGGAGAAGCAGTTACCTGCCATACAAGATGCAGAGTAGTATACTGTACTGTATTTCCAAATTTAACCCTCAATATGTGGCTCAAGTTAGTCATGTCTACATAGGTGGAAAAAAATTAAACGGTAAAAAATATTTTTGTTTTCCTTATCAAATTATTAATTTGGATGCAAAACAGGAAAAAGGAGAAACAAACTGAATATTTATTAAGTTTATTTCCACTTTTAGGAAATTGAAGTTTAAAAGTTATTTAGGAAATTTCTAAATAACTTTGGGAAGAGAGAGGGGAAGGTGACTGGAGTATCTGGAAAGAGGTTTTCTTATTATTATTTTTCCATTACTGACCTGTGAGTGACTTGGAAATGGGATAAAATAGATTAATTGGAAGTTAAGGTTGTGATCATCATCTAGCCAGCAATGTACGGGCTGCTAGTACACGAAGATATAGAATACAAGTGCATTGAAAATGTAGTCTAGCATATAGGCCAAAGATATGAGGTGTTGGGTATAGAGAAATGTTTGATTATAGTTTGCATATGCAGAGAGGATGGTGCAGATGGGATTGTAGGGGATTGTTTAAACAAATATAGTTGGACTAATATTACATACAAGTTGGCTCCATTGGGGCACAAGGAATTGAAATGGTTAGTGAGAGAACAATGCTTAGATAAGGTTGTTTGAGGCTTTTCTATCATGTTTACCCTTACAAAATGGAAATTCCAGGTAAAAACAGGCGATTAATTCAAACTTGTATCAATAACAAGGAAATCGCACTATTTTTATATACAGAAAAAATACAGCAGTTACTCTGTAGATACAGTAATTGTATATTATATAAAGCCACTAATAATGCAGTGTTTCAAGCATATGTTTTTATATCACACCCTATTTGTGTTTATTCTATTCACTATTCTGACACAAATTACCTCATTTGTTATAAAACTCAGTCAATCAAATATCTGCTCTTGCTTCTGCAAATGACTTCTACATGCATTGTTTATTAATTTGTCATTTTATTAATACAGAGATAGTTTACGACGAGGTTGGGAGCTTCTAGCTATCTGTCTCGCATTCTTTCCTCCATCGGATAAATTTGGCCCCTACTTGGCTGGTTATATTGCACGACATTGTGATCCTGCCTATTGTGCCATGTTCCCTGATGTCTCCAAATGGCCTATCCATATTCAGGTAAATAGATTAATGTTATCGGACAAATTGCTTATAATAATAATGTTACTGCAATTAAGTTCTTCCACTGCATTTTCTACAAATCACCATTATTACAATTATGCCATTCCCACCAGCCCAGGAAAAATAGCATTTAGTGTAATGAAATATTAATTTATGGGCAGCAACTCTGTAGCTTCCCTAAGCTTGTGGCACTGGCTCACTAGGAACACACAGAATATGCCAGGTTTCCTGATTTTACCCGAGGGCTACTAATCCTAGTCGCCTCAACGAGGAAAGGAATTCGGTAGCTTGTTGAAGGTCCCCTTCCATTTGCCTTGATCTTTTCCAGGTATATTTTAAAACAACACAGTTTAGGCAGTTATGGCTTTGGCGGGTAGGCAGTTCCATGCGTTAATAACCCAGTGGGTGAAAAAGCATCTCCTGTTCTCAGTCCTACATTGTGGCTTGTTGAGCTTGAAACAATTGCTCCTTGTTTGCATTACATCTGACCGTCTGAAGAAAATATTCGGATCAACATTCTCTAACTTATTCAGTATTTTAAAAGTTTCAATGAGATCTGCCCTGTCATGCCTGGTTTGCAGTGTTGTTAGCCCTGTGGCCCTCAGTTTCCATGTTTCCATCTTCCTTCCTCTACAGTATGGAAAGATGACATGGAAATCAATCACCCTCCAAGCAGTGTTAGGCAATACTCACATTCTTTAACAAAACTTTGAAATAACTCAACATAGTACAGAACTGCCATCCGAAAGTAACATAGTACCGAACTGCCATCCCAAAGTGGTTGCCTGAGTGACTTGGAGACCTCGTGAGGCAAGAACCCCACTCTCAAACCAATGCACAACTACTGTATCAACAAACCGAACAAAATGTCACTAACAAAATTCTGAAAAAGTAATCAGGAAAATTAATATTGAAACAATTGGAAAGAGTAAATTCTCTATCAAAGAGACCATGGATTCAGATGGAAAATCATATCTGACAAACTTGTTCGAGTTCTGTAACTATCACCAAAATAAGGCAAGTGAACAAAAGTATTTGTAGATTGCATCTTTCTAGACTGTCACAAAGCATTTGATAAAGTTCTTTACAAATGACTAATGCACAAGATGGAGAGACAAGCAGGAATAATGGGGAAAAAACACTGAAATGGGCAAGTAAGTGCCTAATGTATTGGAAACAAATGTTCATAGTCAGAGAGGATATGATTGGCTGGAGAGGACTGGAAAGTATTGGTCCATTGGGTATCTGTTCTCCAACCATTGCTTTTTTCAAATTATTTTAACAACCAGAGGCTTTGTTATCTACAAACATCGACAGCTTGTTCATATCAATGTTTGTAGATAATGCAATGCTAATGAGTAAGAACTGAGGTCTTTAGAGTGCTGTAGGAAGACCTTGATAAACTTTAGAATTTTGTGTTAATTTTCTACCACAGATGTGGCCATTTATTTACATTGCTAACCAGCATGTATACATTTTCTTCTGTCCTCCATGGACAAGGTTAGAGAAAATGTACACTCTTACTTATCATGAAAGAGTAAAACAAGCTGTACTGTATTTTCTTCATTGATTTTGAGGACTCTTAAGGATATGTAGTCCCTAATGTGGGTCTTCAGAAATTAATGTTGCAAAAAGTAGGTTACTTTAGTTACTTAATACCCTAGACACTAAAAAATAATTACAACATTTTTTACATATATTGTCCAGTGCTTCAGTTACAAATATCATTAACAGGTCGCGCACTATGCTGGAGTCTGCATGAAACGCCTAGAAAGAACAACAGTCAATGCAAAGAGACAGCGATTGAGAAAGCCCACATTAGAGGAAATCGATTTGGCACGCTTGCATATTTTCCGAGCATCAATGTTTGGTGGCACAATTGAGGAAGTCATGGCTCTTCAAAGAGACAGGTAAGAAAATTACACATTATAACCTTATATAGTACAGTGGTACCTCGCATAACGATCGCCCCAAAAGACGAACATTTTGGGTAACGAACGGCCCGATCGGCGTCAAATCGTCCCGCATGACGAACGCTGGTTTGAGTAACGTCAACACCACATGGTGGGGGCGCGCTGCTTCTTGCACATTCTTAGACGCCTCCGACGATGCACATAAATTATGTTGTTCTTGTTTAAAGATGCTAATGATGCTGGGATATAAAAGGGTGACTGCTGAGATGTTGCAAAGCATTGACGTTTTTGTAGGAAAAAAGAAATGAAATGTCTGATATACAACAAATGTCAAAAAGGTTCGTTCGGTGTTCGGCAGGTAGGCTGCTCCATGTTTCTTACATACAAAAAACGTAAATAATAAAAAAAATGAAGAATTTTGAAAACCAGTACAAATGTCAAAAAGGTTCGTTCGGTGGTCTACAGGTCGGCTGCTCCATGTTTCTTAAATAAAAAAAAAAAAAAAAAAATAAAAGAACTGTTGAAACAATTTGAAAAATGGACAAATGCCATAAAGGTTCGTTCAGTGTTTGTCGGGTAGGCTGCTCCATTATTGAGACGTAAGTGACAAATACAAAACAAATGGAACACATTTGAAACAAAGAAAGATTGTCATAATGGAGCAGCCTACCCAACAAACACTGAACGAACCTTTTGCTATAACGAATATGAAAGACAAGGGCTGCTGGCTGGGTTAGTACTGCGTGAGCAACCATTTGTGGCACACGCGCCTCTGGCTCTCAAACACCTGTCCCACACGGTGTTGAAAGACTGCGCTCAGTCGGTGCAATTCAGACCCTATTGTTTGAAGAACATAAGGGTCATAACATTGGTGAAGCTAGGCGCAATAAGGGCTTAACACAACGGTCGGATGCCAGTGATACAGCACCTATGAGGATGATACAGCGAGCGTATCCAGGTGTAGCTCTGAGCCCCACCCTTGCCATCTCGAATTTATATAGATGATACATAGATGAATCGTTTTCTGCGTTCAGTGATGATGCATCTGATACAAGTAGCATAGATGAAGTGTTAGCGGCTTCCATGGTGGTGTTGTTCATTGATATTTTCAAGAATACCTGAATCTCTTCGTGACTGATGGACACTCTTTGAGGCTAGCTGAATCTCTTCCTGTGTGGGACCTTACAAAGCGATCTTTTCAAGACTACCTTACAAATTGAGCTTTTCCTATAATCGTTTCAATACTACCTTATGCTTTACAAGCTTGGCTACATACCACCTACAAGTACTAAAGCCAAGGGTGCACACGAGTGTGTTATTTGCAAGCACACAGAACGATGAAACAGGATCGAAAATCTATCTGTAGCTGGTGCAAGGAGAGCAAAGTCGTGCTGTGTACCATGGACTACTTCGTTGACTATTACGCACCTCCAAAGTACTGAGTGTGTAATACAGTGTGTTACTGTGTAAATAGTATGTGAAACTGTACATATTGTAATTTTAGTGAATTTTTACCACGTAATATTGTGACAATAAACATTTATTGTAGACACATTACTGACACATGTATCACAGTTCCATGGAAAATTATGAACATTCTACTGTATACATATTGTAAAGGTCACAAATATGCATCATATACGATAAAAGAAACAAATAAAACCGCATTGGAAATGCATAGAAAAAATATTTGAAAATATATTTGTGGCAACACGCGGTGCTTGAATGGCCTGCGCGACCGTGTCTGGGAGCTTTACACACGGGCCACCAGCCCCTGATGACGTCACAGCGCACCTTGTCCACGCCCTCACAGTCAAAGTAAGTGGAATTTGGTAATTATTTTTACATAGACATGTTCAGGGACGGTAATTTATCATTATGCAAAGAAAAATGATATTTTGGGGAACATTTGATGTCATGCACTCTGGGGGAATTTCACAATAAACACAGTGCATCACACTGGTTACATGGGGGACACTCGTTTTGTATGACGTCCGTTTCACATGACGAACATGGAACGGATTAAATTCGTTATGCGAGGTACCACTGTATATTATTTTATATATACAGTACAGCATCACGTGTGGGGTCCACAGTTAAGAGACCCATACAGCCCAGATGAATGGAACTGTAAATTAAGTTGTGGTTCATCTTCATTATCATGATCTAACATTCCAAACTGAGCATTCACCCATATGAATAAGGGGACCCGGTCTGCTGAGCGGACAGCACGCTGGACTTGTGATCCTGTGGTCCTGGGTTCGATCCCAGGCGCCGGCGAGAAACAATGGGCAGAGTTTCTTTCACCCTATGCCCCTGTTACCTAGCAGTAAAATAGGTACCTGGGTGTTAGTCAGCTGTCACGGGCTGCTTCCTGGGGGTGGAGGCCTGGTCGAGGACCGGGCCGCGGGGACACTAAAAAGTCCCGAAATCATCTCAAGATAACCTCAAGATATGGTCTTTGTTTCATGTCCCACTGATGTACTTTATAGATCCAAATTACTTCTCAGGGTTTTGGACATTTTTTATACGAGTTTTCTACCTTGTTTTTGCAGGTCCATCAACTAAAGCAAGTAGTTGACCAATGGGAAGTGGGAGACTGTGGTGACGCCCATGTTGCTGCTGCCCTCTTGAAACTCTGGTACCGTGAACTATACGAACCTCTAATACCCGACTCCCTCTACCAGGCAGCCATTAACGCTCATGATGACCCCTCACAAGCTGTTGCCCTTGTTAATAAACTTCCTGAAATTAACAGACTTGTGCTATCTTATCTAATCAGGTTAGTACATTTACTTTTTAATACACAAAGAACTTAAAATGTATATATTTACTCTATCTATATCTGTAAAAGAGAATGTTTGTTTGAGGTTGGAGGCCAGACGCTGGGGCTAGTCTCACCAAACTTTGAAGGGTGACTTGTGGTTGTTTGGGGATAGTCATAGGTCAACCCTCATGAACCCCTTTGCATTATAAAGCAAATGATACTGATTTCCAATTTCACTAAATACCAGATTCCATACTCATTAAGATTTATTCAGTATATTTGCAAAATGATGAATATACTATGTGTACCCGTATGGGGTTTTGGGAGTTGTTCTACTGCCCAAGCCCGGCCCGAGGCCAGGCTTGACTTGTGAGAGTTTGGTCCACCAGGCTGTTGCTTGGAGCGGCCCGCAGGCCCACATATACCTGGTTGATGGGGTTCTGGGAGTTCTTCTACTTCCCCAAGCCTGGCCTGACTTGTGAGAGTTTGGTCCTCCAGGCTGTTGCTTGGAGCGGCCCGCAGGCCCACATATACCTGGTTGATGGGGTTCTGGGAGTTCTTCTACTCCCCAAGCCCGGCCCGAGGCCAGGCTTGACTTGTGAGAGTTTGGTCCACCAGGCTGTTGCTTGGAGCGGCCCGCAGGCCCACATATACCTGGTTGATGGGGTTCTGGGAGTTCTTCTACTCCCCAAGCCCGGCCCGAGGCCAGGCTTGACTTGTGAGAGTTTGGTCCACCAGGCTGTTGCTTGGAGCGGCCCGCAGGCCCACATATACCTGGTTGATGGGGTTCTGGGAGTTCTTCTACTCCTCCAAGCCTGGCCTGAGGCCAGGCTTGACTTGTGAGAGTTTGGTCCACCAGGCTGTTGCTTGGAGCGGCCCGCAGGCCCACATATACCTGGTTGATGGGGTTCTGGGAGTTCTTCTACTCCCCAAGCCCGGCCCGAGGCCAGGCTTGACTTGTGAGAGTTTGGTCCTCCAGGCTGTTGCTTGGAGCGGCCCGCAGGCCCACATATACCTGGTTGATGGGGTTCTGGGAGTTCTTCTACTCCCCCAAGCCCGACCTGAGGCCAGGCTTGACTTGTGAGAGTTTGGTCCTCCAGGCTGTTGCTTGGAGCGGCCCACAGGCCCACATACCCACCACAGCCCTTAAAAAAAAAAAAAAAAAAAAATTAGTTTCTTCTTGAAGACTTCCAGTTTTGTTCTGGTAATATTTCTTATATTGTAATTGCTGGGAGGATATTAACCTCTGTGATGTACCAAGTTTATTGCGACATTCCCCTATGCACATAAAATCAAGTGTTTGCAAAAATTTTTTTGATCTTTGTAAAATGATAAAATCCCTTCCCTGAAGATGTACATGTTAAAAAAATGTACCTGGTGCATTGAGACTGCACTCTCGATGCACCAGGTACAGATAGATTTTCGCTTCCCGTTTCTTCATTATATGTACTTGCAAATAATGCACTCACGTACACCCATGGCTTTAGTACCTGTAGGTGGTATGTAGCCAAGCCTGTGAAGCATAAGGTAGTCTTGAAAAGATTATAGGAAAAGATCAATTTGTAAGGTAGTCTTGAAAAGATCACTTTGTAAGGTCCCTGACTGGAAGAGATTCAGTCATCCTGGAAGAGATTCAGTCAATCAGGAAGAGATTCAGTCAATCAGGAAAAGATTCAGTCAATCAGGAAAAAATTTAGCCAATCGGATAGAAATTCAGCCATTCTGGAAGAAATTCAGCTATTCTTGAAAATATCTATGGAAAACATCACCATGGAAGCCCCTAACACTGTTCATCTATGCTACTTGCATCAGATGCATCATCACAACCCAGAAAACAATTCATCTATGTATCATTTATAAAAATTGGAGATGGCATAGGTGGACAAGAGTGGCGCTCAAAGCTCCAACTGGATACTCTCCCTATATCGTCCTCATCGGTGCTGTATCACTTGCATCCGATCTTTGTGTTAGGTCCTTATTGTGCCTAGCTTCATCAATATCATGACCCTTATGTTTTTCAAACAATAAGGTCTGAATTTCACTGACAAAGAGTGATCTTTCAACACTGGCTCCCAAACACCTGTCTGACTCAGAGGTGCATGCACCACCCATGGTTGCTCACTCAGTACTAAGCCAGCCAGTAGCCCTAGGACATTCTGGGAATTGTTTTTCCAAGATGACTGCCTCTCACTGGAGGTCCCAAGAGTTTATTTCATACACAACCTACCGCACATGCGCTTTGAATGGGTACGAAATATTCAAAAAGGTGTTTTCTAGATTGACACAGTTTCCCACCGACCGAGTTTCCTCAGTTGGTGCAGCACCAGTGGTTAAACAATATGGACCTGCGTTTATACAGTGTTCTCTGATTGTCCTTATGACAACTATTCTTCACTGGCTCTATTCTGCAATTCCTTCCATATTGTTCACTCCAGCATGTTTTTTTTATTTTGTGCAAATTTTGAACTTGGCCCTCCAATATTTTCCATGTATATAAAGAGTATATTTTGAGAGCATTGAGATGATCCCAATTGTGTTAGTTTGTCTTATGTAGTTTATTTATTAATGAAGACTGCGTATTGAAGATGGTTACTGTTTAGGAGAGAGGTGGTGGTGGAAGGGGTGGGGGAAGCAGTTGACTTTGAAATTGACTTTGAAAATTTGTAGCTCTATGATCAACTTCCAGCAAGTATTGAGTGAGGATGGCTGTGTGTAGTTATGATAGTTACAATGATGAAGGCATATGTAGTGAAGGTGATTACAGTGAAGATCGTGTAAATTGTTTCAGTGAAGGTGTGGTCTATCTCTTGAACAATGATGGGTACCCCACTAATATTATACATTTAAATAATCTTTGTGTCTGCATTTGATTTGATTATTTAATTGCACAATTATATTGTTATATTAATGTTCGTTTCTTGTTTTGTTTCAGATTTTTACAGTATTTTGCCCAACCGGATATTGTAACGTCTACCAAAATGGATGCAAGCAACTTGGCAATGGTGATGGCTCCAAACTGCCTTCGTTGTACTAGTGATGATCCCCGTGTTATATATGAAAACACAAGGAAAGAAATGGCCTTTATACGTACTCTGATCCAACACCTGGACACGACCTTCATGGAGGGTGTTGTCTGAGACTGGCATTTTGTGGTATAAGGACTAATTATGCCATTATCTGTCACCTTATACCACAGAGCCTATCAAGAGATATGTGCGTTGCTGGTAATCACTCATACATTTATAAAAGTATGCAGAATAAAAACAAAATTTGCTGTGGCAAAGCGTCATATAAGATATAAAGAAGCCTTTATTTTCTTGGACAGTCCATAAGTCAAGAACATTCATGTGTCAGTACAGGGGATGTATGCATGGAGAAGCATGCTATGGATGAACAAATCCACAAGGGCCGTGACGAGGATCCTCGTCACGGCCCTTGTGGATTTGTTCATTTGATGCATCACGTTAGTGTGATCTCTGTGTGTGATGCTATGGACGCCACGTGATCTTGGTGCTCGTCTCTTGTCTTACCTCGTAGGCACAGGTTACAGAGACTTTTGAAGGACCCTAGAATTAAGAGCAAACTCCCTTTACAACGTTTATATCACAGGGTTATGAAATACATAACAAAATATAATTAGGATCAGATTTTGAGCTCATGAGCATTTTGATATTGATACACAGTACCAAAAGAAAAAAAAGTTTAGGGTTTGGTCCTAATATCTGGGTAAAGACTGTGATTTGATGTCCATTGACTTATTTTAGGTTGTGTAAAAATGCTTAAGTATGTTCTGTATGATTCCAAATAATGCAAACAATATCTAATTTATTTCATTAATCTGCAGTTATGAATTTTGAATACAAACAAAAACAAATAAGTTAATATTTATAATTGTTCCTTATCAGAGTACAGTACATAAATGATATTTATGTCATGATAATTTCATACCAACTTTTGTTTTTATATGTAACAAATTGCTACAAAAGGCTTACTGTAGTGCCTGTAATTTTTTTTCTTCAAAAGTTCAAGAACTACATCGGCTAACATTCCAAATTGAGAGCGAGCCGAGTCACACTCATTACAGGACTTCCAGGGATCCCTCACTTAGTGGAGGCTTCTGGCCACGTTAGTAAATGTTTAAATGTTAACATTTTTCAGATACTGATTAGGCAAGTAATTGGATTTCTGATATTCAGAATATTATTAGTACCTGTGAGAAGATAATTTAGAATTGTTGTCTAACAGTCAACCAACGAGATCTGATATGATTTCAATTTGTGTACTTTCTGTAAATATTGTAACAAAATTAGAATAACAATGGCATCACACAGTGAGGGAGATGCCTTACGGTCGGTCAATGATCATGCAGTTGGTGTTCCAACTGCACATAACATGGTCTTGAAACCCAATGTTCCTCTACCACACAGCTTAAACAATAAGGTGAACCTTTACGTCCTGAGTGAAAAATGGACATGCCTATTATCTAGTCTTCAACTTGTATAGTATTTTTTTCACAAACTTCCTTGTGCCAACTCGAACAAATGAAAAACAGATCAAAGCTACTTTGTTTGCATTTGTTACAGGCACACACATGCTTTTGTTAAATGACTTGATATAGTTAAAATGTTATTTTTTATACCATGTTGACAACAGTTTGTTACAACCTTATGTAACACATTCTTTGCTACTTGTTCTGCAAAATATTGTACATGAATTTTAAGATAAAAGAAGTATAGATGTTTATGAGTATGACGTGGGATGATAGTCGGATGGTGGTATTTTTTATATACTACTTAACTATTCTAAGGCATTTAACTATGTAACCATATAAGCCAGGCAATCATGTAAATGACAAGGACAGTACACTTGAGCCAAGAAAACTATAGGTTATTTTTCTGGATTTTCTACGAAGAGACTCAAGTCATACATATGAGGGGAATTGAGTGTGTATTTAGCACATCCAAGTGCTAAGGTGCAATGCTTAATATGCAGCATTTTTGACTACTAGAAGTAACAGTATTAATTATAATGCCGTGTTCTTGTAATTAAATGATGGTTATGCCGAGTCAGCAGGAAACGTATAACAAACTGGTTAATATCGTATTTCTTCTCGGTTGGCATTTTTTTTTTTTTTTGCTTTCCTATTTGTGAAGTCTTATTACTTGATCTCTAACTTTATAACATTTATATAAATACCCAACTGTTAATTTTCTTTTATTATAAAAAGCAACTTTTTCCCAAAATCTTCAGATATACAAGAAATTATTTCTGTAGTCCAGAAAAACTTATTGAATATGGCTGATGGCTGTTGATTGCTTCAGAGATTGGTGTATGACTGCTGTGAAGCAGCATAAGCTAGTTGCTATTGCATTTAGAGCATAAATGTGGAATGTACTGAATAGTTTAGTGTCTATTTAAATGGGGTTTGATACCTTGTCATATATAGGCCAACTTTGCATCTTTTTACATCTTATATGTGCCTCAAAAAAAAATAAAGCACAATTTCTTTTGTACAAATTTTATCAGATTTGATGCATCTAAGTCTTCTTTTTGCCTTTGGCTTGAGCACTGGTAGCTATGCAGCTGGAAATTATTTAAAACTCGTTATTTCTGACAAGGCTTGTATAATCATTTTAATATTGAAATATATACAGATGTCCTTATGTAATATACATTGATATTGTATAGCTGTATTTCAGAATGTTAAAAACATTTAAAATCATTTGTATCATATGAATATTAAAACCTGTATGCTAATTTTATTGTTATTTTGACCTAAATTTTGCTTCCTCCATCAACAGTCCATGTGACAGTGATAGCACACTAAGAGATTTTGTCGGGGTTTGAACCCAGGGCAAAGAAGGGGTCACTGGGCACCACTCCTAATTTTCCTCCTGTTCATCCAGCAGTAATTTGGGGCAGGGTTATAAACTAACTTGAGAGTCATGTTCCTAGAAAAACTATTAGAATAATTCTAAATATTAGCAATAGGAACAGAAAACTAACCATGCTAACAGGAGTCATAAATCATTTGCTCCTGTACCCATCTTTAGACAAACAAAAAATACATTTTTACCACTGTAAAATGTCTGTCCGTCTCTCACAATATTACTAACAACACAAAGACACTTTCTCTTATTAATTATAGACATGCACAAAATAGAATAGGTCCCACAATGAAAGGGAAATAGAAAAGCACAAGAGAATGTGTGGAGTGTATTTTCAGCATGTTTAGGAATACGGGATTTAAACGGGGTTGTGTGTGTTGTCTGAAGACCATTCATTATAGTTCTGATATTTGCTGGGTGGTGATGGGCTTGTTAAATAAGATTAACCTAGTTGAACACAAGACGAAGTTAAAGAAAGTTCAGAGGTATTCCACCAGTTTAGTCTCCAAGCTGAGAGGCATGAGATACGAGGAAAGACTACTGGAGTTGAACTTCACATCACTAGAAGACAAGTTAGGGGAGACATGATTACCATCTACAAAATTCTCACGAGGAATTGATAGGGGTAGGTAAATAAACTATTTTGCATGGGTGGAACATGAACAAGGGGACAATGGCAGAAGCTTAATACCAAAATGAGCCACAAAGACATTGACACTGAAAAAATTACTTTTGATTACTGATTAATTAATTACTGATTAATTACTCCTTTAATTACTGAAAAAATTAAATTATTTAACTATTCATGTTAAATGGATTAACTACGAAGTGATGTGACGAAGACAGACTCTATACACAGTTTCAACTGATAGAGCCCAATAGGCTCAGGGACATCAACAGAAGTTGATTAATAGGCAAGAGGCAGGACCATAGACCTGAAACTTATCCCCCGCAAGCACAATTAGGAGAGTACCTTCCCTGGCACCCTTCCAACACACACTCCCCATCTCCCCCCCCCCCCATGACACAAACTCCCTATCTCTCTTGATATTGTAGCCATATTCCAGCACACTTCCTTCATCACTATGACCAAATGGTTGTGCCAAGAATGCAAATCTGTCATCTGAACCTACATTTATTGTGTCAGTATCTGATTACACTAATACTTAACCAAAGGTTAAAGTCTACTGACTTGGGAGAGAACATGTCCCATCCACCGACTTCATGAAGGTGGTGTACTGGGGGTGACTTGCCCAGAGGGAGGCATGGGGCTGACTGCAACCACCCTATGACACCCAATAAAATTACCATTAATTCTGCACAGTTTAATGACACTAGTCCCAGGCATCTTGTCTCAAACCTTTGTCAAACAACCAGACATTTTATATTATAGATGAAGTGAAGTGAAGAGTAGAAGCAAATGGAAGGCAAGGAGACCAAGGGATTTATTGTGACTACATATATTAGTTTGACTATGATTTCAATGATTCAATGTTGCTAAGCCTCTGAATTACGGCTAAGGTGATTGAGTAAAATATATAGAGAGATTGTTGGGTCTTCTGAGCAGGGAAGTAAATGCAAATAATTCTAATGAAATTCAGTTGCTATAGTAGACTAATAAAACTGCTCTTAAATCTTAAAGTGTTAATGGTTTTCATTTCAGTGAAGCCATCAATATTTATTATATTGTCATGAAACATCTACTAAATAACTACTGTATATAAAAAAAAAATTCTACTCTCTTCCTTTGACGAAGATTTGACTGACCTAGATCTAATTTTACGCCTTACACACCGCACGCATATTGTGGGAGAAGGCTATTAACTTAAATAAGATGTGTCTGAAGCAATCAGCTCAATTAACTCTTGTTGTCAGGGACAGGAAGCCTGTAGTTAGGCTCATCAAGGTCCTCTCCCTAGGCCAACTATACTGACCAACCCTGGGAAGCAGCCCACAACAGCCAGATGTATTACTGCCCTTCAAGCAGCCCGTCCTCAGGTTAGTTCGTTAGTATAAGTATAGCTGCCACACCCGTGACAGGTAAAAACATTCTTTTTTTAAGACAGTGCCATCTGTTGAACTTAAGAGCAACACATTCTCTTATATATTACGATTACATTTCAATGTTTCTGATTTCATTAATAAATTTAATTTTCATAGATTGATTTATTTTCATTTTGAATTAATTATTTTGTGTGACATTGCATTGGAATTGAGCTGTGTTGCTTACCATACCGCTCATTTCGTGAGTACAGTTTATTTTTTTATTTTTTCATTTTGTTTTTTTAAATGTTCTTATTTGTCAATGATGGGAACATCAGATCATTTGGGAATGCATCGGACGAGTGGGGAATGGTGGGGAGGACGAGGGGATGGAGGTGTTGGGGATGTTGGGGACGAGGAGACAGGGGAATGGAGAATGGTGGTGAGGACGAGGAGACAGAAGTGGGGGGATGGTGGGGAGAATGCAGGGAATGGTAGGGAGGACAAGGGGGACGGGGGAGTGGGGAATGGTTAGGAGGATGAGGGGATGGTGGAGTGGGGTCATGGTGGGGACGACAAGGGGACTGGGTGCGGGGAATGGTGGGGAGGACAAGGGGACGGGGGAATGAGGAATGGTGGGGAGGACAAGGGGACGGGGGAATGAGGAATGGTGGGGAGGACAAGGGGACGGGGGAATGAGGAATGGTGGGGAGGACAAGGGGACGGGGAATGAGGAATGGTGGGGAGGACAAGGGGACGGGGGAATGAGGAATGGTGGGGAGGACAAGGGGACGGGGGAATGAGGAATGGTTGGGAGGACAAGGGGACGGGGGAATGAGGAATGATTGGAAGGACGTGGGGACTGGGTGCGGGGAAGGGTGGGGAGGACAGAGACAGGGGAAGGTTGCTGTGGCTCAGCCACAGCAACGCATGGCAAGGTTTAAAAAAATTCAAATGTTTATTCAGGTAAAGTGCATACATACAAGGTGTGATACAAACATTGATGGATTTATAGATAGAGCCAGTACATACAATGCCTAAAGCCACTATTACGCAAAGCGTTTCGGGCAGGTATAGCTAGTTAGTATATATATTTTTTCATCGGGGTCGTCTGCCACACATTTTGTCTTTGAATTATATGTATTGTAGGGCTTGGTTTCCCTTGAATAGAACCAGCCTTTGAGAGCCATTGCTTTAACTCACACAGCTGTGAGAGTAAGGCTTTGCGTTTTTATTGATACTGTTTGTAAACTTATCCACCGCTGCCCACTGGATGGGGGGGGGCCGGTGTGCAGGACAAACATATCAATTGTGACACTAGCTCTCCACATATGTCAGTTGCTTAATTTAGAACCTGTACTTAAGGTCGATCTCGAACCCATTGTTGATATGACGACTTATATTGAGTTTTGTAACTAGCTCATCAAGACTAACTTACTTAGCTAAATGAATTGTGGAGTTCAGTCCCTGAGCCCATTATGTGCCTCTGTAACCCTTTCCACTACCGCCCACAAGATGGGTATGGGGTGCATAATAAATGAACTAAACTAAACTGTATATTATATAAGTCCACCAACTACACGGAACGTAATCTTTCTGGCATTGGGTCTTCTGACAATTAAGCGTATTCCACACCCTGGCGGCTTCCTGGTGTAATTTGATGTTGTAGTGCTTGAATGTTTAGTCTGTGCCAGTGTTCCGCCTCCCAGCACACGCTCTCGTTTCCCATGAACACGGTAGCGCCCGTGGCACCTGGGGGGAGGGATGGATAGGGAGGGAGAGGAGTGAGCTTCACACCCCCTCTCGAGGATAGAGTTTCAGCAAGAAGCCCAGGCACGCGCCGCCTGCTGTCTGGCGAGGCGGGGGAACCTGGGAAGGCGCCTGGCTTGGGTGTAGGGGGAACTATAGAGGGCTCGTGCGGGTGGAAATGTACATGTTTATCTCTCAGAATGTTTGGTAACAGGTTTATTGTTTGTGATGTGTGTCTATGTATGTACTAACACGTTGTACTGAACGGGGTGAGAATAGCTTGAGCTACCTCATCCCTTTGTGTGTATTTTACCTCAATAAACTGATTTCAATTTCAATTTCGTGCGGGTACCATCAATGCCTTCCCCGCCCACCTACCAACATCTCCGCGTGCCACTATAGACCAACTGCGAGGCAAACTTCATTGTAACATTGTCAAATAAGTTGTATTGAGCAAACTCAGCAGTAAAATCAAATATAACCATATTTATAAGTGGAGCAGCACAGGGCATCCTGCCGCCACTAGCAACACCGCAGATGTCCGCCAGATGTCTCACCACCCAAGGCATACACCAGCACTATTTTTTCCGCTCCTCGGCAGATGCTGGCGTGATCCGGACGTGAACTTGAACGAACATTTAAGGGCCGGTTAAGGCTGAACGAGAGCTTAAGGAGGAGGTGAGAGTGGAGGCACACGCGGGGTGAGAGAGGGGGGCCGGCTGGTACGGACCCCTCTGGTTCACGGAATGCCTTTATATAAGTCATCACCCCAAATACACGGGGGCGCCGGACACCCTCGGCATGATCTAACCGGGGGCTGTCCACACGCCCCCGGGTACTGTGTGTCAAGGTGTAGGGGGGGGGGGCCGCGTGTGTGGGGGGAGGGGGGTGTATTCACCTAGTTGTGCTTGCGGGGGTTGAGCTCTGGCTCTTTGGTCCCGCCTCTCAGCTGTCAATCAACTGGTGTACAGGTTCCTGAGCCTATTGGGCTCTGTCATATCTACATTTGAAACTGTGTATGGAGTCAGCCTCCACCACATCATTGCTAATGCATTCTATTTGTTAACTACTCTGACACTGAACAAATTTTTTCTAATGTCTTTGTGACTCATTTGGGTACTAAGTTTCCACCATGCA